CACTTTTAAGCAAACTATTCAGTTCTAAACTGATTTGATTCTCGGTTTAAACATTTTAAAGGTCACATGTACTTTCAAAAGAGACGTCAGGTGAGGCTCCCGCAGGGTCAAAAACGACCTGCGACCTCCAGGCTTTTTTTAGGCGACTTCCGACCTGAGGGCCTTCTAAAAACGACCTGCGACCTGTAAAATTTGAAAAAAAAACGACCTCCGACTTCACCCACGCTAAAAAACGACCTTGCCATTTTGGAATCACGTTTTAAATTTTCAAAGCCATCAACAACTACCGCAGAGAAAACTACAAAAGACTCGATAATCCGGAAACTTGACAACTCCGAGTATACTTCAATGAACGAAGAAGATTGTGACCATTTTCATTTTCACTAATAAATGACAGGGGCGTTTCCAGGATATTAGAAAGAGGGGGCGTAGAATACAATCTTTTGCCGAGCGGAGCGAGGCGAAATTTTTTTGGACCTTTTTTTGGCTAAAAAACATAAAATAATTGTGAAATGCACTAATGTAACGGTTCCTGACTTGGAGCATGTATATTCTAGAGTTAAAATGTCAGGGTTTGATATTTTTATCTCTCCATTAATGGTATATTAAAATGATTAGATGGATCTTAACAGCAGTAGACCAATAACGAGAAATTCCAAATTCTAGGATATAGGGCATTACTTTACATTTCAATAGTCCTAGGCCAGGATTTTATGAACGGGAGGCGTAATTCCGGTTGGCCTGGTATAGGGTCCATGGGGAAAGTCAGAAGCTCCTGGATTTCAACAATTTAGCATCAAATTATGAAGTATTATAACAGACTCCATGATAGACAAATTGGTGAAAATAGTCTGCTTTCGGATCATTGAAATTATGTATTGATTAACATGTGGATATCAAATCTTTGGAAGAAGTTGTAAATTCAGTTAAAAGGTTATATGAAATGGGCATGAAAAATAAATCTTTTAAAAATTGCGGTTTTTATCCAACGCAATCATAGGTTTGAACGTTGTTTTCAATTTAGTAGATATAAAAAGATGTGGTATGAGTGCCAATGAGACAACTCTCCATCCAAGTCACAATTTATAAAAGTAAACCATTATAGGTCAAAGTACGGTCTTCAACACGGAGCCTTGGCTCACAACGAACAGCAAGCTATAAAGGGCCCCAAAAATTCCTAGTGTAAAACCATTCAAACGGGAAAACCAACGGTCTAATCTATATAAGAAACGAGAAACACTTATGAACCACATCAACAAACGACAACTACTGAACATCAGATTCCTGACTTAGGACAGGTGCAAACAGTTGCAGCGGGTTTAAACGTTTTAATGGTACCAAACATTTACCCTTATCTGAAACAATAGTGTAACATTGTATTTATAATACCCCGTTCTATATAGTCAAATCTGACCCCTTCCAATGCAAGGCGAAAAAAACATAACCCCATTTCAGACAATTTAGCTGAAAATGCAACCCCGTTTGTCGGTACATACCCGGTATCATATATATAGCGAGTATCCCCCGGGTAGATGTAGAATGGCCATTGGGGAAGTGTCACACAAAACAATCATTTCATGTATAGATTTACTTACCGCTTTCGTAAAAAAGGTGTCCAAGTCACCCATCGGATGGGGGAATCAGTATTTTTTTTTTTGAAAAGGGGGGGGGGGGGGCGTACGCCCATTACGCCCTTACCTGGACCCGCCTCTGAATGAAGACGACTACAACATTCTTCTTGATCAATGTCAATTGGTTCGCCCTGAAGAAGAATCCGACGAGAACGAAAATGATACTGACAATGTTGACCGAGTTGTTCCTAAGAGAATCGTGTCGGAAAACTACGTTCTTCCCACCAGTAGAACTAGATCGGGAAGAACAATCGGCTGGCGTCATGACCGATTAGGATGGTAGATCTGATAAAATAAAATGCCCAAATCACATGTCTGTTATTAAACATAAACTGCTGACTGTTGGTCCCACCGTACTGTTTTTCCGGCCATCTGTCACACTTTTGTCTACTTTATTATACTCCACTACACGCAGTAGAAAGTATTACATGGTTGGGTATCCGTCCGTACTTCCATCTGTCTGACCGTCCCATGGTGGTATCCAGATGAAAACTTGAGAACAGATCAAAGATTTATTTCATTTGTTCCCAATTGTTTAGCACTTTAAAGTACAAGTTAAGTTCGATTTTCATCTTAAATCAACATGCAGTTTTCAAATAATCAATTTTGAATTATTTGTGACCCTTTTTGTATCTATAGTCGGTTAGAAGTCTTCGTTTCTTTGTTTCAAGAGCCGGATAAGCTATCAAATAGTCAAGTTATGATAATTTTTGGATCATTTTTGTTTCTTAAAAAAGATTTAAATTGGTCTGGGTTATTGCTTCAAATACACTATGGACACTATGGGCGATGGACATTATGGTCATCACTAGCGCATAGGGCACTAGCTACTAGCGTCTCTGTGTGTGCTCCAAAGAGACAAATGTATCCAAGTAAGGTTGATGATCAGTTTCATGTTTTATGTCCCGACAACATTGTTGCGGTAAATATAGTTTTTCGGTCTGTTCGTCCATCCGTTCGTTCATCAGTTACACTTTGGTTTACCTTTGCGTTTAAGATGATTTCCTAAAAAGTTTCAAGTCGAATGTTCATGAAATTCTGTACCGTACTCGTTATTTATCATGATATGGACTAACAACTGTGTAAAAATGGGGGAGTTCCATCGAAAATGGAAATAAGCGCCGAGCGGAACACCCCTGTCTTCAAGACATTTCCTTGTTGCCATCAGTCTATAGATCGTGTTCAAAGTATCTCAGTAGGTAAATCCAGCTCTACACCCCGGTGATTTTATAAGAGTTCTGGGGACTTGCCCAATATAAATATTGTGTTGGATTAGTGAAATACTGAATGTTTAGTTGAAAAAATCGAAAAGTTCAAGTCCTGTTTTGGTCTCAATATGGAAAAGAAAGGATATGGGTTAATGGCACGAAGACATCACATATTGATCATTAAATGCCACACAAAAATAAATCTAGAGCTGACGAAACGAACTTCAATAGAGCAGAACTTCCCACTTACAGACAGCCATATCTGGATAGCCTCAAACAAAACAAGAACAACCGAACCCAAGGTCACAGCAAAATGTCCAAATATCTAATATAAAACTAAAAGGTTTAATCATATATAATATGTCCCTGGTTTAATAACACAAGAATCGACACAACAATGACTTAAATGGATCCTTTAAATATAAAAACGACTTCCGACCTCTATGTTGGAAAAACGACCTGCGACCTGTACATTTCCTTTAAAAACGACCTCGCGACGAATTTAAAAGCGACCTTGCGACCTGAGGGGGGTACCCTGTGGGAGCCCCTCAGGTCGCAACGTGGTCAATCCCTCCTTTGACGTCCCAGGTCGGACTTGACAATGTCACGTGTAGCCACATATAGGGTGAATGTATCCAACTTGAACATTTGGATCCAACTACCTAAAGTTATGTATGGCAAAGTGTCCATACCATTTACATATTTTGGCTATGGTTATTTCACTTGGGATACGTACATGTAAGTGTTTCTTTCATGAATCAAATACCTTTCTTGGCACAAACTCATAAACAATAAATGATAAAAACCTATTGCAGATTATTGCATATACAATGATATTAACAGACGTGATCGAATGAAAAGTTATACATACTAATATATCATAATATTATTAATGATAACAATGTGTGGGACTATAAAGCACAGAAAAATACAAAGCACAATAGAACTGGTATGTAATGCGTTCTTTCTAGTGCGGCAATCAGTGAAGTTAATCCCAGTGTGTAATGTGTGTTCGAATAAACCGTTAATCACACGTTCTTTTTGGATTAAACGAGATCTTTTGTATACATATATAAAAAAAAAACCGCAGAGACACAGACAGAGTTTAAGGAAAGGGGGAGGCATAATTGTCCAAAAAGATAAACATACCACCAATGTTGTTTTTTTGACGATTTTTAAGCAAACGATTAGATGATATCAATCAAAAGGGCCCTCTAAACCCACATTGACCTTGGGCTATGTCAGGAAGATTTTCTATAGGTCGTTCCTCAAAATACAGATTTTGTTTCGTTTCGTTGTGTTTCGTTTCTCAATTTACATGTTTCGTTTCGTTTCGTCGTGTTTCGTTTCGTTTCGCTGAGTTTCGTTTCGTTTCGCCATGTTTCGTTTCGTTTCGCTCTGTTTCGTTTCTGTTCCGTTTCTCACTTTACCGGGACCGAGATATGCATGCATAGATTCAAGAACAGTCCATAAACTTTTCAGATTATATCACCAAGGTTTATGACTATTACCAAATATGTGACTGTAATCTTAGGTACCACTAGAATAGTTTTGCAGGAAAAAAATTGAATCATTGTATGAAAGTTCGTTTGCTAAGGAAATAAAATGATAAGAGACGGTATATATGTATCTGTTATGTAGAAAACAGTTACTCTTAGTCTTGACCATCGTTATCATTTTCGCAGTAAGAGCTACCTCTTTGGAATCTTTCAAATCAAATATATATATACCGTAATCATTTGCGCATTAAGTTGGTTTATACAAATTTATTTTCCAAATATAATTTTGTCAAATGGTCCCAATTTGCTGAGAATTAGTGATATATATATACTGATCTTAAATCTCTATTAAAAAACTGATCAAAACTGTGGTCGCTTTTTCGAAATTTACAAATTAATTGTCTATGTTCAAAGTTTTGGGAAAGTAAGGTATGTTTCAAACAGAATGGAGCTCTGAGGAATGGCGGAGAACTACAATTACAGTACAATGTAATGTGGACGGATTACCCTGATATTGGAAATGTTTAATTATGTTTTCTTATACCCGATATCAGCTGATCAGAGATGTATAAATTAATACATGTCTATCTCAGGTATTTTTAATTGAGTATATCGATCGCACTGTATTTTGCCACCTACGCAACAACTTGCATTGTGACGTCATAGCATTATTGATCGGAAATAAAACGATGCTAGCTCTGCTTCTGTGATTACCAGGATAAACAGACTTTTGGCACCTGTCGATTCCCATATGGACAATTTTATTGTATAGGAAACCATGACAAGAAGTAGGTAAAATCTCCATACATCAGATGTATGTATGGAGGGGGTATGATTCGGTAACACTGTTAAACACACACAGCGACAGTGTAGCGTCAGCAACTTGGTTAAAAAAGGGGGAACAATTCGGTAAACATGATCCCAAGAAATGTATATGTAACAACATGACAATAATTGCTAAATCTGTTACAATTTTAACTTCATGTTGAACAAAATGAGTTTCTGTCAATTAGTAAAGTAACATAATCATGTATATGTTTGCAAACCCGTCATAATTTAACTGTATACACATGATAGATACATGTTGTTTACATGTTTTGCCCTAGTCCAAGATAACTCTGATGTCCAACGGCTATTTTGCCAGACAAGATGGGGCCGTGGGACGTCAGAGCTCTCTCATAAATTGAGGTCCATTTGAAAATAAAAGTTATAAATGCCGGAATCGATGGGTCACTGTGAAAACTGTCCAAATATGAGAAAATAAAGGGTGGCAGGTAGATAAAACTTACATGAATGAAGAGATAAATGAAAAATGAACAAATAGAGGCTTGATTTATATGGATCCAATGCCACCAGAAGCAACGATGCAGCGCATCCATTTTGGACAGGCAAATATCCACTTTTTGATATGGGACGCTCTGACGTCCCACGGCCCCAGCTTGTCTGGTAAAACAGCAGCTGGAAGTCAGAGTAATCTCGGACTAGTTTTGCCCTTACACCACTGCCCCAGTGTACATGGTGTAGGTGGAGGGTTAGCGCCTCCAAACTATATTAACCCCGCCACATTCTGTAAGTGACTGTCCCAAGTCAGTAGCCTGTAATTCGGTGGTTGTCTTTTGTTGCTGTATATCATTTTTGTTTTTAGTTCATTATTTTGTACATGAATTAGGCCGTTAGTTTTCTAGTTTGAATTGTATTGCATTTGCCATTCAGTGCCTTTTCTAGCTGACTATGCAGTATGGACTTTTCTCATTGTTGGTGACCTATAGTTGTTAATTTCTATGTCATTTTGGTCTCTTGTGGAGAGTTGCCTCATTGGCAATCATATCATATCTTATTATTTTTATGCCCCACCTAGGGGCATTATGTTTTTCGGTCTGTGCGTCCGTTCATCCGTCCGTCTTTCAGTCCGTCTGTCCCGCTTCAGGTTAAAGTTTTTGGTCAAGGTAGTTTTTGATGAAGTTGAAGTAAAATCAACTTGAAACTTAGTACACATGTTTCCTATGATATGATCTTTCTAAATCTAATGCCAAATTAGAGTTTTGACCCCAATTTCACTGTCTACTGAACATAGAAAATGATAGTGTGAGTGGGGCATCACATGATCAGTGTACTATGGACACATTCTTGTTGAATGTACATGCATCATCTGCTTATATGGGTATGCTGTATAATCACTATAGGGCTTTATTATCATTGGATGGAGAATGCAGCAAGTCCTAATTAAGGCTATATATTGCCGTTTAAAAGAATTTGGTTGATTATGGTGTCTTCACGGCTATGGTGTTCCAGTCGGACAGCATATCAGCCACAACATTTACATTTTCATGTGATTTTTGCAATAACCTATTGCCAAGTTATTCTTATGAGCACCAACAGGTTCCCATAAGTAGCAGACTTATTCATGCAGAGTTTATGGCCAAACTCAGGAAAGATCTGTCTAAATTCAATAAACATTTACCATAATTACCTTGGTGATAATTTTGCCTTTAATCAATAATTTTCGCATTTTAAAGCAGAAATTTACCTAAAATCTAATACAGGCAGTGATAATTGTCCTTTTCTAGATTTTTATATTTCAGTAACACACAGGCATGACGGGAAACTCTATTAAAAAATTTATGACAAAAGAGAAGATTTTTCATTTCTGATTGTTAGGGACGACATCAAAAGTTTAATGTAGGATAAAAAACTTAATTCACATAGTTTTTTCACTGACCCCCCCTCTTAACTTAATTTGGGAAAAATTGATTCACCAATATGGATATATGTAAAATCTATTTTGGGTAAACAAAACTTGCAGCAGTTTTAACCCCCCCACCCCCAAACTATTTGATTTAAGTTTTTTTATCCTACATTGATCTTTTGATGTAGTCCCTTAGTTATCCCTTTTTGGACGGTGATGTTCCTGTAGCCCTTTCTTATGGTCATGATGGTGTGTATTTCAAAACTTAACTAGCTATTCACATATATTCATGATATTTGTAGTCATGTTTTAGATTTCAACGAATGTAATGTATGTAGAACTGATAAATTTTTAAGTCAAGAGTTTTTATACGACCATTACGATCGCAAAAATATTTTTGTGGTCGTATATTGGTATGACGTTGGCGTCGTCGTCGTCAGAAGACACATTGGTTTTCGCACTCTAACTTTAGTTTAAGTGAATGGATCTCTATGAAATTTGACCACAAGGTTCAATACCACAAAAGAAAGGTTGGGATTGATTTTGGGGGTTATGGTACCAACAGTTACATGAGTTAAGGAATTAGGGACCAAAAATAAGCATTTTTGTAACATCCAGACATAACTTGTGTGTTAGTGTATGGATCTCTCTGACATTGTACCACAAGGTTCCATATCACAAAGGGAATGCTGGGATTGATTTTGGGGGTAATTGCCTCAAAATTTTAGGAATTAGGGGCAAAAAAAGGGGCAAAAAACAAGCATTTTTCTAGTTTCATGACAATAACTTGTGTGTAAGTGCATGTATCTTTCTGAAACTGTACTACAAGGTTCCATATCACAAAGGGAAAGCTGGAATTGAGTTTGGTGGTAATTGCCGAAAAAGTTTAGGAATAAGGGGCCAAAATGGGGCCAAAAATAAGCATTTTTCTAGTTTCCAGACAATAACTTGTGTTCAAGTATATGGATCTCTCTGAAATTGTACTGCAAGGTACCATACCACAAAGGGAAGGCGTGGATTGATTTTGGGGGTAATTGCCTCATAATTTTAGGAATTATGGGCCAAAAAGGGGCAAAAAAACAAGCATTTTTCTAGTTTCAGGACAATAACTTGTGTGTAAGTGTATGGATCTTTATGAAATTGTACATCAAGGTTCCATATCACAAAGGGAAAGGAGGGTTTGAGTCTGGGGGTAATTGCCCTAAACGTTGAGGAATTTGGGGCCAAAAAGGGGCAAAAAAACGAGCATTTTTCTAGTTTCCAGACAATAACTTGTGTTCAAGTGTACGGATCTCTCTGAAATTGTACTGCAAGGCACCATACATTGTAACACAAAGGGAAGGATGGGATTGAGTTTGGGGGTGATGAATCATAAGGGGGTTCAAAAAATTTGAGTTGGGATTTTTTTCCCCTTTTTTTTCTTTAAAATTTTCCATTTTAAATTGGGTATTTCTGATTTAGATATAAAAGCAAATAATAATGATATGGTTTGAATAGGTAAATTAAAAATTTTTAAGTTCTTAGACCACATTCATTCTGTGTCAGAAACCTATGCTATGTCAAATATTTAATCACAATCCAAATTCAGTGCTGTATCAAGCTTGAATGTTGTGTCCATACTTGCCCCAACTGTTCAGGGTTCGACCTACATGTACAGCTATGAGAACTAATTATCGTACATCCTGTTGATATGTTTTTTTTATATTTTGGCATTGCACTAGGTCATGCGTTTCTTAGACTGATTATGACATCTTTACACTAAATCCATTGGATGGGCATTGATTGATCCTAGTGTGGGAGAAGCTGATTTATTTATTAGTTGTTATTGGGTTTGAACTAGCTTTCAGTAACTGCTTGGTGCTTTGTTTCTAATGTTTTTATCTGATTGTTTTTGTGCCTACACCAATAGATTGAGTTTAGCCAATTACTACATGTACTACTTTACAGTTTGTTCTTATATTGTGCTGTTACACCACTGTCTCAGGTTAGTGGAAATATTGAGCTCTCACCTCACCACAGTTTTTACATATGTCCGTCCCAAGTCCGGAAACTAGTTGAGTGGTTGTCGTTGGTTCATGTCTTTCTAATATGTTTTTCATAAATTGTTTTGTTATGAATTAGGTTGTTGGTTTTCTTGTTTGAACTTTTCCTCATTTTTCATATCAGGGCCTTTTATAGCTGACTGTTCAATATGAGTTTTTCTCATTGTTGAAGGCCGTACAGTGGCCTATAATTGCCTACATCCACTTCATTTGAAATCTGGTGGATAGTTCAAATTGCCTCATTGCCAATCAAACTACATCTCCTTATAGTTATACTAAAGACATGCTAGATCGTCTCTCTCAACATAAAATGTGCTCTCCCCAATTTTATTCTTTATTGGGATCATCAATTTCCATGTCTCTCTGCCTTGCTAGCTTACTGCCTTGCTAGCCTACTGCCTATGCTGACTTTGTTCAGAAATATTTTTTGAAAGTCCAACATAAAGTTTCTGTTGATTATTTATTAAAAAAACATTCAAACAGAGCAACATTTTTTAAGGATATTTAACTTTTTATAAAAATTGTAAAGCTGATAGTTCTTGTGACATCAGATCCTCAAATTTTCTTAATCTGTAAGAATGTACATTGTATTACAAATGTATATAAAAAAAAATCACAGATCGGGGCAAAATTAAAAGAAAACATCTATTGTTGTAGTACATGAAACTAATCACTATAAAAACCATTCATGCAATAAATATTTTTAACATGAAATTTATTAATAGTCCATTTCATTTTCTTTTTTTAAATGTCCAATACAGGTAGGCTTACTTTCTGACAAAAACGTGTTGTCGTTTATAGAATTTTTTGTCAATAAAAGGGAGATAGTATCTTTAACATTAGATATATGACGTTGACCAGGTACATTTGCAAAAAGCTGGTAAACATTGGATGGATTAAGTAAATTGACTTTTTTTCATGACTCTGGCATTGGAAGGGATCAGTAATGTGTTTTTCAGGTAAAATTTCATCTGCTATACATACTGACATAGTTTTCAAATTAATCGCCAAAAACAAAAGAAATAAGTGTTAAAAAGTAATTTTAAGGACAGTAAATTATTATT